CCTGATGAAATAGACCAGCTGAAGAAGAAAGTGATGAGTTTGAAGGGGAAGAGGATGAGTGATAGATAAAGTTGCCAAAATACAAAAAAGGTGTTCTAATGATGCTTTAATTGTTTATTCTGCCAGCCTTCTTTTCTTTCTTGGTTCATCAGTTGGTGGTAATGTTATTTATATATATATAGAGGTAATCCTATATTAATCCTGTTATGGTTTATAATTATCCTATTCTGGTATGATAAAGGGAACATTAAATTAACAAGTCATAAGTTATGAATGAGCACTGCTATTACTTTTCAAAACATCATCATTCACCCTGGTCAATTTTACAGTCACATCATAATCAGCCCTCATTTATAGAATGTTCACTTTGTCTGGTTTTGTTGCAGTCTGCCCCAATTAAGAAAACTAGGCAGCAGAGTAAACAAAGAATTTCGTGAAAAAATAAAAGAGTTGCTGGCTCAATACAATAGTTATGAAGATTTAGCAACCTCACTGCAGAAAATCATTGAAGAAGCAGGAGAAAATTGAAAGAATTAGAAAAAGATAGTGATAAAAAAGAGATTTATCCATACCTACAACTGCTGAATCATGAGAAAATTTTAGGAGAAAAGAATAAAGAAAAAATTAGTAATAGTAAAGAAATAACTAGCGAAATTAAAGTTAGCCAAGAAGAAAATGTTGATTTTTTAAAAAAAGAAAGCAATAAGGCAAAATTTACCAATAATCTTCGTCTCCTTCTTCATATCACAAAAATCACGTGGTTATCATCCCGAATATGGTAAAGAGAGGAGAAAATCCCAGGTCGTGAGAAAAATGTTAACGTGGTCACATTTACATGTTCAGGCAAAGGCTGAAATCCAAAGCCGAAGAAACTGGTCTGAAAATCGTGATCCAAGACGAGGCTTACACCTCGAAAACTTGCTCGTGGTGTGGTAACATACAAAATATCGGTGGTAGAAAAATCTGCAAGTGTAAGAAATGTAATTTAGTCATAGATCGGGACGTAAACGGAGCTCGAGGGATCTTCTTTCGAGCGTTGCTTGATGGAGCCATCTGCACGCAGATGTAGGAATTGATAACTGTACATAGCAACGTCTAGAACAGATTATCAATGATGTATTACAATCCAGCCGCAAGAAGAGTATTCTGAATGTTTTCAGAATGGCGCAGAAGGCGAGGAAGGATTATGTCATTAAGCCGATGATCATTGACGTCATATATTGTTGCACACCCCAAATATTATCAGCATATTCAAATGCAATGTCTAGTATGATAAATATATGCATATTAATAATGGGCCTTTAAAAATCAAAAACGGCAATTCTTTCAAAGACGAAGCAACGTGACGCTTTACATTGTATTGTTTGACCAGGCAACAATGCAATTGATACTCACAAACGCAATTCTCGTCAAAGTATCCCCAATCGCATCGAGCATGTGATCAACATCGTTGGCGATAATCATACTCCCAACAATCAGTATTGTAACTACGGCGTAACGTACGTACGCAAAAACACTGATATTGCCCCCCACGTTTACATTTCCCGGTTTTTTGACCCCCGGATCTCGAAGCTTGCTTAACCCTATAATAATTTCACAGTCATACGTACAAGAAGCCCTAGTCAAGTTTGAAGTGCAGATACCAAGAACCATTACTCGAACTATCGTAGAATGATACGGGGATTTTCACGTCTAGGGACTTTTGCAAAATCACATTCATTATATGTAGTGCTCTTATGTACCGTTTTCTTGGGAGCTGTACTTGCGGCTTCTCCGTCCGCACTCGAAAAAGAGGCTTTTATCAATTCGCTACTCCGTCCTAGAGCAGTATACTTGCCAACGACACGATCTACTGATCTCGTCAAGAGAGAAGAAAATTGCCAAGAGGAATGTCCGCCATGCTTTGATTGCCATTTAGAAGCCTTCCCTTGCAAGCAGTTCGGAAACTGCAGCGACTATGATGGGCGTTGTCAGTGTCCACCCGGTTTCGGTGGATTGGACTGCTCTAAGCCTTGTGAGTTGTTTTAGAGTCTATATTTTTTAGAAACAGCGCATACTCGAACTGCTGTGTATGCCCTGTGAAATGCTTGAAGGTCACTAATAAATCATGGGTTGTAAATATGTTCAATTGCAAAATACTCTATTATAATTCCTATTATCTCAAACAGTGTGTGGTTCATTGGCCGATGGAAAAAACCGGCTGCCACGAGAAGATGACCAGTGCGTTTGTTCAGATGGCTGGGGTGGAATCAATTGCAATGGTAATTGCAAAGCATTTGTTATACCTGTATAATACTTAATACTCATTGATCTATAATGCCATAGTATGCCTGTCAAATGAGGCATGCGATCCACTTGTTATCACTGGACAGAATGGCACTTGTTATAAAGGTGGATTGACTGTCAATGAGAACTTTCAAATGTGTGACGTGACAAGTGAGTTGTTTTAACGGAACTTGCTGTGGATACAACTTATTACAATATATTATAGTTAAATCTCTTTACCAACATTATCAGACAGGAAGATTCTTGATATGTTGCCTAATCAGCCCCCACAAGTTACGTTCTCCTGCAACAGAGCCAACAATACGTGTGATTTCCAATGTAAGGCTGCTTCTCAATGCTTACTCTCCGCAACCGTCGATTCAAGTCATTTCGTTGATATATTAATATATTTCTTTCGCGATAGTTTGGATCAATAAAACAGAATCTTTCTATTGCCATCTTGATGAATGTGCGTTTGAGCAAGAAATTGGCTATAATAAGAATGTAACAGATTATTCATGCAAAAAGATAAAGTGTGAATGCATGATTGGAGAGATGCTTTGTGGGAAAGAAGGCAGTATTGGTAGGATGTCTTGCAAGCATTTGGAACTTTCGTTTGGAATCTTTCTGTCAAAGATAACCTTTTTTTTTTCATATATAATGATATTAGACCTTTCGGATTGGCTTGTTGAGGAGATCAAAGGCCCAGCTTCGTTCAAGTGTGTCAATTCTGACGATTGTCGTTTTGATGGTATGTTGAAGAATTTATGTTGATGTCCCGACCACCATAACTGCTGCATCAAAACTTGAGCAATCTCAACTAAAACGCGCAACGCGGAACCATATCATTCCTAGAACCTCAAATGAGTGAACTCATAAAGTCAGTATTCGCAGACAAATACATTACGCTTAAATGCTCTGGTGGTGAATGTCTTCACTACACACAAGTGCCTGGATTTGTCGTAAGTTTTATTTGCCATATCATAATGCAACATTCAATATCCTGGGGTTAAACTATATGTTTGATATTATCCTAATTTAAAGCGACCAGAAAAACCAAGAAATACGACAATAATTCTTGTTTCAGTGGTACTGGTTATGGCATTTGTCTTTGCAGTTTTTGGAGGTATCAGTCGCTCGTTCTTGAATTCATAACATGTTGTACATAGCTCAATTTAAAATGACGCCATATTCTATTTTAGGCGTGTTCCGTTTATCGCGCAATTGGAGAGAATCCGCTCAAAATGGCTTTGTACAACTCCCCGATGACGAAGCAGGCAAACTTATGACTGATCACACGCCAGCTTCTCTATTATTCCAGAACGTGCGATATTCCATTGGAGATAAACAAGTGCTACAAGGTATACATGGGATGGTGCAACCTGGAGAAGTGATGGCCATTATGGGCGCATCCGGAGCAGGGAAGACATCATTTTTGGACATTTTAGCGCGAAAGAATAAGGCTGGTACAATATCTGGTGAAATATATGTTAATGGACATGTAGTCGAAGATAGCAAATTCAAGAGTCTTGTCGGGTATGGCAGATTGATTTTTAGTTTGACTAATTTATAATGATATTTGACCAATTGTGCTATACTTTTTAGCTATGTCGATCAAGAAGATCATTTATTACCTACATTGACCGTATACGAGACTATTTTGTATTCTGCTCTGTTGAGATTGCCGCGGGAAATGTCATTACAAGCCAAGAAATACAGAGTGTTGGAGACTATGAATGAGTTGGGGATATTGCCGATAAAAGATTCGAGAATAGGGGAAGCGGGTATGTGATACTTTATATTTATTGCATGCGATTCAATGACGATTGCCGATTAAACCAAGTTACTTATCATCGCTCTAGGTGCTCGATCGATTTCCGGCGGAGAGAAACGTCGTGTTTCGATTGCATGTGAATTAGTAACTTCACCATCCATCCTATTCCTTGACGAACCAACATCTGGTCTTGACGCTTATAATGCGTATAACGTTATCGAATGCCTTGTGACGCTGGCAAGAAATTACAACCGTACAGTTATATGCACAATTCATCAGCCCAGAAGCAACATATTCATGTTGTTCGATCATTTGCTATTGCTTGCTGGAGGTTACATGGTTTACTCTGGTGAAGTGAATGAATGCGCGGAATATTTTGAGAGTATTGGACATAAATGCCCGCCTGGCTTCAATCTGGCAGATTATCTAGGTAAGTTATCTAACGATATGAATAAATCCTGCAATTTATATAATGTACGTCTATTCTGTTCTCATCACGATATTGTACATGTTCTACATAACTATTGCGCTATAATCAGTGGACTTGACAATGTACGCGGTCAAACCCAATGAAGCCGCAGAGGAAGAGGGAGGTGCGGAAGGTCACTCAACCTCGATTTCGGCAGATACACGAAATCAACCTGTTGAACTTTTGAACAGAAGCAATGGCAGGACACCATCTCGTAGCCGTCCCCCAATCCACGATTTACAGGAATTACAAATCTACAGACCCCATCGGCAATCAAATAATAATAATAACAATAATCCAAACGGTGAGGAACCTGTCTGGGAGACAGAGTTGAGGAATAGACCTGGAGCAGCTAGACGTCCTACTGGATCCAGTACTGCCATAGATGTCGACTACGACGAGTTCGAGCGTACAGATGACGAAAGGATAAGTGAGCATCTACAGACGCTTGTTAACAGTTATGCAAGAAGTTTGGTTGCACTTAGGATTAAAGATGAAATCAGCCAGGCAATAAATAGGTATGCAAGCCAAGGTTTATATCGAAAGCCAGACAATTATGTTTATTGTCTCTTCATACTCAATGGTGCTCTTTATACATTTCAGCAATGGTGACGAAGAACGACCTTTAATAGCTTCTGCACAAGAGATACAGACGATCACTTCCCATCGTAGAGCCTCATGGTTGACTCAGTTCAAAATCCTTTCTGATCGTACATTTAAGAACCTGTACAGGAATCCTATGCTCATGTTCACTCACTACTGCATTAGTGTCTACTTGGCGTGTAAGTAAGATGTATTGGATGAACGTACGATCTTGTGCATCGCACTAAATTTCTTGTTTTACTCGAATCCAGTGCTCTGTGGTGCGTTGTTTTACCAAGTTACAAACGACATTGCGGGTTTCCAAAATCGAATGGGCGTGCTTTTCTTCATGTGTGCTCTTTTCGGATTTGGTTGCTTGAGTTCGCTACATGTATTTTCCGAAGAAAGGATTTTGTTCGTAAAAGAACGGGCTAACGGATATTATGCTCCAATTACATACTTTGCGTCCAAGGTAAGTTTTTTTGTACGCGGTGAATAATGATTCTGCAAATATCCAAACTGAGAATATTATTTGTTTTCGATGAAATACAATCAGGTGTTATTTGATATCATACCTCTACGTGTTGTGCCACCCATACTTATGGGAGTAATAATCTATCATATGGTTGGCCTTGTTAGCGGGACAGGACCTTTTCTCAAATTCATCTTGGTGTTGGTATTATTCAACCTCACTTCAGCAAGCATTTGTCTGTGCATTGGCATTCTCTTCAAGGAAATCGGGGTTGCCAGTCTATTAAGTAGTCTGGTTATGTTATTCAGCATGTTGTTCGGTGGTTTGCTTCTTAACAAGGGTGAGTTTTGATCGATAAGTTGATGGTTTCGGCACTCGTTTCGGCACTCGAATCCTTAACGTTATTTCCTTTTACAGAATCTATTCCTGAATATTTGGCATGGCTAAAGGACCTTTCATTCTTCAATTATGCCTTTGAGGCTTTAATCGTCAATGAAGTTGCATATTTACAATTAACTGAAGAGAAATTTGGGCTAACGATTGATGTATGTTGTGGTTTGTTTTTTTCTTGAAACGATCTAGTTACTATTGTATATGACATTGACTTAACCGGAAACGTGCTTACATTCTTGTTAGGTTCCTGGTGCCACTATCTTGTCTACTTTTGGTTTTGATGCTGCAGCCTACTGGGCGGATGTTATCAAATTGTCAGTTATGTTTACGTCATTCATCATACTTTCTTTTGTTTGTTTGCAACTATTTGTAAAGGAGAAGCGCTAATAATAGGACAGACTTGAGAAGATACTTGTTTTTGTTATTTCATCTGTAAAATTATACCCTTTTTAGTAAATTAATAGCTAAGTGATTAACCGCGTTTTTTATGAGTGCAATAATTTTTGAAATTTGCAATAGTGACCGAGATTGAACATTAATGTAAATGAATGTCAATTACCGTTATTATTTTTTCCCATGAATTAAATAATGTGTTGCTTAATAATTTTGGCCGAAGAAAGTTGTCGTGATGTTTCTGTATTTAGGATAAAGATGGATCGCAGAAGAGGCAACGAGAAGTATTAACGGCCATAACAGCTCTGTTATATATCTAAAACGAGAAGTAAAATTAGAGAATAAAATCGTCAACCATCGAGCTTAAGTTACTGCTGCATATCGACATGAAAGTATCGGCGTAAAGGATACATAAAGGAACATTTTCTCACTTGAAAGTTCTTCACAAAATATTCAGATAGCCGTCCCCAAAAATCTGACCAGAGAATCAACAACCTAGAGTCAAAAGAATTACTACTTATGCTCCGCCCTATTGGTCAATTGATGCCCCTTCCAAGTTACTTTTGTTGATCAACATCTGAAGTATGAGGTCACCAATTACAATCCCCAACTGGAAAACACATGGACATTTGTTAGTGTTTTAAATCGCTTATCAACCAAAGCTGGTGCTTTTATTATCTTTCGTATCCGCGTGAACGCTATAGCAAATATTAATGAAGCGAAATTAAGTCTTTTTCCGCACGGGGAGCGCGGACCACTACCCAGAGGTGTGATCTTGAGATATTACTCGGATAGTTTCAACTATGAATGGTACGATACCAGTTGTAAGTTCCGGCAACTTTCTGCCAGCAACATACGTGCCGATGGTGCTTGGCATACAATTGTTTGGGCTTGACTCCCAGAGCAATGACGCTGCTTGAAGATGGTAACTATAAATTCACTTGGAGTGTTGATGTTCCCGACACTGTGAATCCCACGATGTTGGATAAAGGGGGGCAGTTTGGATATCGATATAGGTAGCGTATATGCTATACCGGCTAATGTTGATGATAACCTCGATGATTAGTCTTATTGGTATTCACATATATGTAGCGATATATTCGACAAACTTGTATTATTAGAATAAGAATTTAAAAATGTTTGGTGTAAGTGCACATTATAATTAACATGTATTGAACCAATAAAACTGTATTGCGTGTGATAGCATTCTCGGCAATGATATAGCTTACCGTTGATTCGTAAAGAATTTCTTTTTTTAGGGCGTATCAGGACACTAGGACAAACAAGTAACCAAAATTTCTTTCCAATCGGCTTAATATTATTCCTACTAGATTTTAACAAATCAAGTTTACGCGTTATTATAAAATACAGAGGATAATCGAAGAGAAAATTTTTATTAAATATTTGCGATAAGTTCGATTCCTTCTCTATTCTCGACTAGAAAAAACTTAGTAATTGATAATAATATGTACATAGATTTTTTTGATATAATTATTGTGACAAGAAGTCAGAAATTACATTAGATAAAGTTGCTGCACATAGAACAGAAATAAAACCGTTTACTTGACAATTTCTCCACTATAAAAACGACAGTGCACTAAATTATAATTAGGATTTGCGTGTCTTGAAAGAATTGAGATCATCTTACGTTGCATAACTGTGACAACATTGATGTTACTGCAAGTATTTAGTAGACGTTCACAGTATTGAGCGCTGGAAAATAACCGGCACCCACAGCAGTCAGTTGGGAGCACTCTGACTACTAATATAATTACTTTCCCCCATATGCTTTATCCCATCCAACCACATAATCGACAATGTGATTAGTAATAACACAAAGTAATGCTGGGATAAATTGTGAGAAAAAAAACAGGGCAAAGGAATATATATAGCCTAAATTTTATTAGCAACAAAAATAATGTGGCGCTGTGGCTGTGCGGCGTGGTGGCTAATTGGTAATTTTTTAAAGTTTTGGGGCGACATTATTGAATATCGGGACAAAAAGTTTCTAGTTTTGCTGATAATCCCCCAAAATAATAAAAGAGCTGAAAGATAAAGAGGGAATAGACTGAGAAAAGGATGAAAAGGTGCTGATTATGATACAATTATGAGGCCAAATTTCTGAAAGTGTTAAAACACAACGCCGCAACAAGCAAGCTTATAGTAATAAATCAATGAAATAGTTTGTTATATGAACTTGGAAGAGATTATTTAGCAACCGAATTAATACAGTTTATCTAAAAAACAAAAAAAAATATAGATTATGCAAACTCAAAACACTAGTAAAAAAGGTTAAAGAAAATTTCCAGGCTTTATTTTGAATGCCCTGCCATTCGTTAACTGGTAGCTCACAACACTACTGATAAAAGTTTTATCATTTAATTTTGTGTTTTATAATTCTTACAGATTTTATTTCTTAGTTTACCACAAGTTTGTGTTGGTCTATGTTACTGACATTGTATTTTCGTTCTTGGTAGAATTCGTGAGCGAATTTGTCTTATTATTATCTAGATATTTCTCAAAGATTTTGATATCACAAACTCTAAACATGTTAATATGCGCAGTTTTCTCCTTAAGAATGCTTTTAATAGTACCGGAATTTTTGATTTCAAATTTAGATTTATTATTATAATAATAATTGTATGTTTAGATATTGAACACGCTGTAATATGTAATAGCTTTGAGTAGAGAGTTTTTGAGAAATTACATAGCATAGACTGTGCATAAACCACAACTTGCTACTAACGCAAAGTCTTTTCAAAATGTTATATTGACCAACTTTTTAACTTACATCAGCCGTGCAGTCAAACGTTCACTTTGTCTGGATTAATTGTTACATTTCCGGGTACATCACTTTTAGATATGTAGTGTGCGCCATGTAATATGCCGTATCCTTTCCAGGTGAAAAACACTTGATGGTCGAAACAAGAAAGCGCGGTTGATGTAGTATAGTCTTTTATTTCTCATTCTTTCTTTAGGTTTTCATAGTAATAGTTCCATATTACAGAAATTATCAAGTTAATAATAGTATGACAAAAAAAAAGTCACTTAACTATTTGACTAGAGCTCTTCGACAAATCAAGATAATAAAATATTATTTGATTATCTAATTTTGGCTAATAATTTTCTATAAAGAGTTGACTACAACAAAGAAATCAAAAAAAGAAGAGAGAAAAGTAATATTAGTAACATTCTGGTTTAGATAACATGAATAAAAGATTGCTAATTTACATGAATATTAAACGTGAAGAGGTTAGACGGGCCGTTACGATAGGAGATGTGAATCAAGCAGATATTATAAATTTGAATTAACAATCTTGTACTCTCGATTGAAATCTATCAATTGTTCAATTGTCTATTACATAATATTGTTGGACAATACAAATGTAATATTGCGGCCACGAAGCGTTATTGGCTAACTTTACTTACTAAAAAGCATGACTTTACACAGATTTACTCTCTTTACATTTAATTTACTTGCTTGCCTTCATCTTTGCAGATACTGTATTGTCGTACGTATTCCTTGTTACACCGAATTTATTTATCGACTCGAGATAAGAGTGCAGTAAGAATGGTTATTTTCTGGTGCATAAGCGTGTAATTGGTTATGATAAAGTCGGGCTGTTGTAAAGGCCTTTGTTGTGTGACATCGGGGAATTGCTTCCGAATAATTAGATACTCACTCGACTATTATGGTGGTATGCAACGAAAAAACCAGACAAAGGGACCGGATAAACAACTACCAAATGCTGGTTTCATTTATCCATGGTGAATTTGCTCTAACCTGTTTAGTCGAACCTATAGTAACGTAATTGGACTATTAATTGGGACAGGAAGATGTTAACTTGTGTGTTCGATTTTTCTGTTCACTCATTACTAAAGAATGAATACGCATACAATTCTTTCGCAGCGAACTCCAACGTAAGACGTTGATTTTTAGACGGGCCGGGCCAGCCTTTTTCAGTTGACTTTCGGAAAGTGATACTTAATATGTGTCCCTAAGATTTACGGATTCTCAGGATTTGTACCGAGACCCGGAAAGGTATCTTAAAAATGTAATCATGTGATACTCACTTTGTTCTGATTTGTTTAATTATTATGGTTCTTAGTATAGATTGTCCCCCGATTATATCATTTTCCATGGAAAAAGAATTCAGCGAGGAATATTACCAGAGTTTTTTGAACGAGTTGTATCACATTTGACTGATAAGGTCAATCTTCGTCTGTAAATAATGACGAGTTTTAATTATTTGCTTTTATTAAATAGTAGATATTGTTGGGATTTTTATCCTATTTATTATTAGTCTCGTCATAAATACTGGTTTAATTCAGTATTTGTATTTTTGATAATATCTCAAGACTATCGTAACAACAGTAACTTTGTGGCAGTATTAAATATGTTGCCTAGACATTCTAGGAAACATTAAAACTACTCGTTTCTCATCGGTACTACGTATTGTGTAGATCGTAAAATAACTTTTACGTTTGGGAGGTCATACAAACCGATTCATTCGGGGGGACAAGAAGTAAAGAAGTAAAGAATTCCCCCCCTTCAGAATCAATCGATGATACTGAGCATATGCGATGGCATACTTCAATCGGATAGCTATTATTAGAACAGAAACATTGATATGGTATATGTAGTAAAATACGGACAATAATTAATGAAATTAAGGGCTGTGATGAGTGGAATTGCTTGCTTTTTTTTGCTACAAATTTCGTGGTTTTCCAGCGTGCCATGCCAGTTGAATGGTATGACCGCCAAAACAAAAAAATTATTTTCCGAACTGTACAACGCTTCGGGTAATTTCCTAAAAAGGTCCAAATATTGATGGGCGCATACACTCGGTGTACTGTAAAGCCGGCTTTTCAACGTTTTAAATTTCTAGACAAATCCGAAAACCTACTTCAAAGACCGATTGTAAATTTCGAGACCATCATATCTAACATCAGTATATTATTCCTATAAACGATAAATGATAAAAAGCAAGAATGGTTTTGCGGTTATGTATGATATTTTGTCAAGACATTTCTTTTGCTCATACTATTACTATCGTTTTACAAACAAGTAAACTAAACAATTTCAGGCCAAAAAAAGACGTGACTATGCTCATGCTCATGCAAATTTTTTAGAAGCGGTATCTGGAGCAACATGCGCAATAATGCAAAGAGAATGTTGTCAATGTTGTACTGAAGCGCGTGCCAAGCGTATTACGACCTAACCGTTGCGCCAGCAAAAACAAAGCCGTGTACCAAACTATATGTTAATATGGAAATTACGGGTATCCACACCCAACATTGCTTGTCCAATGACATTAGCGTCACAGATACCGGAACCTGAGCTCAAAGGGCGATAAAAAAGAAAAAGATAAGGATGGGCCTATCATACATCAAACACTGTAGAAGCAGTCTTTTTGTTGTAGTTCCGAACTGATAGTTAGTTATTATTCCTAGAATAGATACACACTTGGAGACCGAATGAAGTAAATACGACCCATTAATAACAACGTTTCGGGTTATTATAGTTGATAGTGAATGAACGTATTTCCGGAAAACCCTTCCGCGGTCCGATACGATAGACTAACGATTAATACCATCTAAACCTGAATTAATTCAAGTAAAATATCTTCTTGATGACCAATTCCAGACATTTTTTGATACCACATACTAAGACAAAGAAAAGATAACATTTCTCTGTTTCTTCTTTTCGCTTACCAAATCCCAATTACTTCGCCTGGATGGGTGCATGAGCCCCATCCCATCCCTTTAACCCCATCCCGTTTAACCCCATCCCATTAACGGGAGAATGGGGCTTATTTGTCTGACGGTGAGCGTTTACATATTTTGCTACCGAATATAGCATGAATTAACCACATGCATTTCTCGTGCTTTCATTTTCTTTGTCTCGTCAACCATTCCATTATTGTACAACAAAGTGCCAGACCCAACCTTAATACGATCAGATCATCATTCATTTACCACCTACTTGGAGGGAGGTTATTAGCATTAGGCAACGTTGGATATTATTGGTTAGACGTTCGTTGTTTGGAATAGAAAGACCATAGTTACGCTGTTGGATAGAAATAGAAAGGTTTATGTTAATGGCATAGGTTTAGCTGTATTAATATTACACATACATGATCACCGCATATCGTTATACATACATGTACATATTATTAATGGAATCGCTTCAAAAACGGGTATTTTGTTTTAAACTGTTCATCCAAAAAGTGCAGGGCTATTAGCGTGTAACCAAACAAGCGCTCATGGGGTTGATAGTAAAAGAAGGTATTGATGCTTATTAAGGCAGACCACATTCTCACAAAACACGACATCTATTACACATTGCACGCGTGCATATCAAGCATAAACAAACACAATACCCCATTACTTTATCTCTGTTACAATCGTTATCACTCGCAGCATTTTCCTTGTTCTATCGTTACAACCACCAACAACGACAAGCATAAATCCATTCACATCCACTCATATCCATTCACATCCATCACATCCCATTCAAAACCCATTCACATCCATTCAATCTTTCCCCCCTCTTCTCTTTTACCCCTTTCACATCATATAACATTCTTCATTATCTCGCTTTCCCTTCCAAATCAAGTCTCCTTGTAAAATAGCAATAAATATACCGCTTATTTAATAATCCCTTTTTTTTCTTCTTTTCAATATTTACGCTTATTACCTTTTTTAGAAGTCTACAGAAAAAATATATAATACCGGATTTTTGATAAAGATAAAAAATCATTGAAAACGGAGGGTTTTTTTTTGTCAGTCAAAACCCAACTGAATTACTCGTTAGTTGGGGGGAATATTTTTCTCTGGGCAAGAGAGAAAAAAATAAAAAGCGTATAGACGTCAAACACATAAAGCTGAAATTGCCATTACGAAAAAACCAACAATACAATCTTATGCAGTAAACAGCTTCGGCATTCGTATAGACACACTGTAAATATACATATCATACACGCACACACGACTTGTATAATATACAGACTCATTCGACGTTCCCGACTCTCCTTCGTCCCTTCCCACACCCCTCTCTCCCCTTCCCCTCACCTTCCCCCCCTCCCCCTAACCCTCCACTCACTCATTCTCTGTAATTTTTTTTTTACGCTCCCTTTTTAGCAAATGTCTTCCGATACTCAACCCCAAACTTTTCTCCTGCAAACGACATTTATAAGTAGTATAACGCTAAACACCATACTCCTTGCATGGGTGATAATCCATTCGCTTACCGATGGACGCATACCTCCCCAACTACCAATTCTCAGACGTTGGACAATATCAGGAAGAACAATCGGATTCATGTGTGTAGTTGGGTCACTATTGTTTAACATTACTGCGGATGTACTAGCAACGATAGCGGTGCCAGACCTAAGCTTTCTTTCGACTGCATTAATACTATGGACTTTGGCTTACGGACTAAAGGCATCGGCTGTGTTTATCAGCCTGGAGAGGTACTACACCGTCACCAAAAACTTGGTGAAAGAGGCCGTCGTGACGAAAAGGGAAACTACCGTCTATGCTGTATTCTCCGTTCTATCACTCGTCCTCGTGTATCCATCTCTGCTAGTCATCCTCTTGACGAAAGCAACTTCATGGTACGGTGGCTCACTACCCACATCATTCTACTTTACTGCACAACTACTCCTCGCTTCTATTCTATACATTAAACTCAATAGACGTATCGGGATCGTATTAGACGAAGGGTTATGTGTGGGAAGGAGAGCGATCAGAGAACTAAGGAAATTCAGGAGAAGAAATTTTTACATGATTGCAGCTTTGGGTGGAGAGGTCGTTGGAGGATTGATCTGGAACGTGGATATGATGACTGGCATGAACATATACAATAATCTCCAAGGAGGCATCGCCGTCCAAGTGTTTAGAAATTTCTCTTGTGCTTTGGTCTATATCTGTGTAACATGGGTGATATTTCCTCCAACAGACTTTACTCCGCAACCGGGAGCTGCCCCGGTAATAAATCTACCATATACGCATTCGCTTGCATCCGCAAAGAATGGATTTTCTTCTCTTCATCTTCGCTCTTATCTCAAACGTAACAACCATACTGTTCCATTTGGCCACATGTATCCCAAGCCACTGCGAGGTTCGTTCGATAGTGATGATATATTCGGTGATGATGATTTCGCAATAAGAGGAAACAATGATGGACTCCAGGAGGGTGGTGGTGTTGGTGTCGTTGTTAAGATGCCGGACAACGTGGTGGTTAAGGATAAGGAAGGTTTCGTGGTCAATGTTGACTAAGCAAAAAAAAACAAAAAGTCTATTCCTTCTGTGGTATGCTGAAAGTGGATATCATTTATTTTATATACAGAATACCAATCCGCAATTGTATAGAAACATTCATCTTCCTTTTGTCTCATGTTTCATAGATTATATAGATCAAGTTTTTGCATAGCATTATTTCTCACCCAACATATGTTACTTATATTCATTCATATCTACATTTATAGAAACACACTCAGTATATCTTCACAGTTTTGTGCATTGTAACATTTTATTCACGTCGTCTCCATCATTTTGAACATATTGTCTTTCTCACTGTAATATTTTCTTTCAAGTCATTTATCATGAAATGTACTTTAAATTGTACTTTGACAAAAGAAGAAAAAAAAATAAATGCCAAGTTTTTAAGATCCTATAAATAAATAGCGAAAATATGTCTAATAAGCAAAGAAAAAGTTGGCGGGAAAGATGTTATTGAGAAACTAAACACGATCCAGTACTGCGAAGACATTAAGGAATTCTCGTCCTTTCGCTATAGACTGAATTGCCATTTATTTCATCCACTTCATCTCCGACACAACTTTCAATCTTCTCGACTTGCGTTACTTTGTGACATTTCATTTGATACAAAAATAGTACTAAACAGATATCTATAGGTATAAGTGCTGGGAAACATGGGGAAACAGATATTAATATATGAAAATATAGAAAATATAGTAAACAAACACCCCCAAAGGTATGAAGGCAAACGAAAACTTGCTAATTATATATGATGGTAATTAAAGAAAACGATATAAAGACATTATATATAGTTTGGGGGTGTTGAAGAAAAAACGCTAATTGGTAATCTAACCGGGAATGATAAAGACACGACCTCAACCCTCAACCTCAACCTCAACCTCAACCTCTGCACAACTCCAATAAACACTGTTCATGAATTTAGTCTACTCCATCTCGAAAACCACTCTCCCCCGTATGCACACAAATCTAATCTAAGCCCGACTGTCTCTGATAGAGAGATTGCTTAATGTACAAAGAGAAAAATAAAAGAAATCTCTCAAGTCCTCATTGGATTAAGAAAAATAAGGAAAGGATTAATGTCATTCTTTTTCACTTTAATCCAAACCCTTCGCTATCTGTTATGGCTCTTATGAGTTTGGCTTCGAGTTTCCTCTTTGTTCGGTATCGGTATAAACATATTTGGTTGAAGCATGTATGGGCAATCGGGAATCTGGTGAAAAGACAAAAACGTTAGTTTTAAAAATAATTGTAGTTATCAAACAATTTTGTGTCCCAACTTGGGTTTTTGTTTCAATCCCCTACTACATTATTCGTTTCTTTGTTTCATTTTGATACGTGTCTCGTAGCCCCTTAATTATGTACAAACCTCTCACTATCCTCTCCAATACATGTAATCTTGAAAGCCAAATTCTCTACTCCAGTCGCCGGAATCCTATCTGTTCCTGTGACGAATGTTAAAAGTTTCCTTTGCATTAATGGATTCATTTCTTTAAACAACATCCAAAAGTGTCTAATTGTTTCCTCGTCCTCACGGAAGCCCTCGTATATAGTCACAGTGCGAAGTTGTTCGATTTGTAGTGGTTCGTCGCTGCCTCGAACAAGAAGTTCTATTTCTTCTGGTTGGAAAAGCTGTTGTAGAACAATTTGTGAAAAGAGGAAGAATATGGGAAATTTGAGTCGTGCGGTTAAAAAAAGAAACGTAAATACCCCACTAATGTACTTACAGAAAGCGCATTTCCACCACACACATGATTGAATCCACGTTTGAATGGATCAAATTGTTTGGCGATTGACTCGTTTAGTACAAAGTTGACGTAGCGATTGACATAGTCTACATTGAGTGCGAGTATGTATTATTATATCAATGTTTTGTTTACGGATCGTACCATCGCAGAGAATAGTACTGATGGATGTAGAAAATTCAAACTTCCAGACAGAGTGTACTGCTTTTTTGCTCCTAAATATTGGTCTCTTACCTTCTCGATTCTTGTTAGTTACCGGTATATTTTCACCACCAGGTATCAGCGGTACTCTTACAATTTCACCATAACTCTCATATTCTCCTACAAAGTCCAAAAATGTTGATTCCACGTCTGGCAGTGTCAATAGTTTCTCCAATCCGTTTGCGAAAGCAGGTCGAAATACTTTCAAATCTTCTAATGTGACAGGAATATTAAGGAGTTTTTTGTAGCAGGCGAGAGGGAGATGGACGTCGAGGATGGTGGAATTGTAGATTGCTAGACCAATCACAACTCCCACTAGGTAGTATTGATCCGAAGCTTCAAAGGACGCTGGGTTGAACCAACACAGGTTGCTGTCTTCGTCCCAGGTAAACATACCTTTGGAAAGAATACGGAAAAGTGAAAAACTGACAAAATAATAGGATAAAAGCAAAAGATTCCCCCTCCCCCAACTTTGTTATCCTTTCTTCCTAATTCTGTGTATTTACCATATTGCGGATCAAATAATTCCCTGACCAATAGTAAAAACCATTCTTTCCTCAATCCCCCTGCATCTACTCCATCTTCATCGATGAATTCTATCCGTAATGACTTTTTTATGTCCATTTCGTGAGATGCTAACTGGTTCAAAGAGTCTTCGATTAAATTATCACGGTGGACTCGTAATATGAGCTGAGGCGTTGTAAGCCGTTTCTCAAACAGGATTGTGAAGAATGCTTCCTAGGTTTTCGTGTAAAAAAAAAAGTTGATGACAATAGTAACAACGTAAGCGAGTCGCATAAAATAGTATAGGCATTTTGTCTTTTTTTTTTTATACCTTTGCTTTGATGTCCATCTGTCGCTTAGCATCGAATTCCATTATTTGCATTTTCCCACCCATGCTTATTAAAAATGGGTATTGACAGAAGGCGAATTTTCTGTTCACCAAATCGTACAAATGGTATTAGTAAGTTAGCCGTACAATTGGATTTTCATCAAACGCTACATGTGGAATAGTAGACGATTGTTACCCAGTTCGTTGTTCCCAATTGTCATAATCTACTATAAAGTCAATACAATCGACCATTGCATTATAGAAATCTGATAATGAAATTTTTGAATGTTGTTTGTTTGCCGCAACTGCACATGAAGTAGGAGGGAAAATACGATAATTAGCAATGGTGAACGTACAAGTAAGACATCTCACATGTTAAACTGGCATCTACTTGCTGAACAATACTCACATAGCAGCGCCATAACCCGCGCAGCAGATCCGATCTGCCAGTCCGATTCATATGTAGGAACAGGTCCTGGACACGCGTTACGCTGCTGTTTGTTCAATCGAGAAGAAATGAAAGCATTGACCAATTCGACGCGTTTTCGGAAAGTCGTTACTGAAAGTCTAGCAAGAATTATTATATCGTGTGTTAGAATATAGGAGAAATAAAATTTACAAATGTTTTTTTCTAGATGGCGGGAGTTGATCGAGATGTACCGTGAAAACCAGTTCACTAAATAGTGATGTAGTTCATTGGTCAAGTTGGAGAGTAATCCAAAAATACGTTTAACAATGTTATGATGGTATTGAGACTCTCGCGGAAAGTTATGTTGTGATAGAAGAGGATTCTATAGGGACGATAGATAATACGCAATGGTGAATAAAAAAAAAGTCTGGCATATGTAATAATTTATATCACGTGATTATTATGTAGAAGTCGATTACCTCCAAAATTATCATTAAGAATTTAATTTCGTCTGTATGTTTCAATATCCTACACTCAGATATGGAATAAAGACAAGCTTAATGGCCATGTAAATGCGCAATGTCGAACGTAGCAATAATCGTGCACATGAAAATTAAGCCAACACTTACCTTCCAGGTCGCTTTAATACATTCTCGATTGATTTCATCATTACTCTTATGACATTAACAGGCTATCCGACATTAAAAAAAAACATATTTAGATGTGATACAATTACCGACGAAAAAATAATGACAGCGATTGGCATGGTACTTGATTTCCACATTATATAATCGACATACCAATTCCAGTAGAATCCTATATGCCTCTCTCACTTGGTCCAACGCAACACCACAATCATCCAGACTAACGGAACGACCCTACGGGAATAAATTCTCAGTTAACTATAGAAATACGAACAAAGAGCAGTAATACAAAGACAAAGAATTCTATTGACATGGCCATGTAAATTTGGGATGTACATGTAGCCTCCATCATCCCATACACGTTACTAAACTTACATTACTAAAACTTGCGTTCAAAGAATGCCAATTAGAGAAACATTTTGATATGGCCTCTTCCAATAATTCATAGTCTGGTATTCCTCTGCTTGATTGCTGATTTCGACAAGTAACAATCAACGAGTGAATATGGTCGAGTGTCAATGGCATTATTATTTCTTGAAGAACGATGTAAAATTGGGTTAGAATGTGTATGCAGGAAAAGCATGATTGATGTTGCATGCAGACTGTTACCTTTCTGAGTAGTCGGTTTTAGGTCATTAATCGTTTGACATACTGTGCATCTGAAGCATGATACCGATACTGGGAACCGTAAAGTACTAAATAAAAATACATAGTAAAGTAAGCTTGGGCAAGTCTGTTCAATCGCAGTCGATAAAGAAGCTCTGCTGAATCCAACAAAACGCGCCAAGCAGGTATCAAGAGTACTTTTATCATACTCCCAAAATGATTCTATTGCTCACCTGTTGCAACACATACACTTGCCTATCGTCTGAACGAACAATGTTTATGGAACCGATAAGACAAAAATTAGCATTCTCTTCAGACATACAGTCGTGTTATTACCCATACAAGTGCAATTTTATGATATCATCCCTTTTTGTTTACTATTTCTAAGCTTCTTCCGACTGTCCAACTATCCCACCTTCCTCCGACAACAAACGAAATATTCATACCATAGCCACAGCTTGTGCATTAGGATATGCATTTAGTCCAACCCCAACTCCATTGCTCATATGGCCTCCGATACCAGAATTAACAATAGATCCGCTAATACCTCCACTAGCTGTTCTAACGAGATTGGACGACGAGCTACTGTTTGAATAAGGCGTTAACGAAGGACCAGCACCAGACCGAGACGATAGATTCTTGGAATAATCCATAAGAATCAAGTAGAATTCGTTGTATGATTGGTGATTTTGAAAAAGTTGAACACTAATCAGGGAAAAAGTGACAGTTGTTGTCAGGGTCGGTCCGGTTCTGTTAATATTGTTATTATTATTATTGCTGACGTTACAGTTCTGAAAGTTTGTTTGCCGTTGTTTATAGGGTTTGGTCGTGACCGAGAGTTAGATGATTATATACTATACAGCACACCCGAAGTTAGTTAGCAAAAATATAACGAAAGCAATTCTTCGTAACTAGCCCCAGATTGTATCACCACAAAGTGGCAAAGCAAAATAATGTCTAAACAGCAAGTCAAAATCGATAGACCGGGGATTGGCTCTGTTTCTGAATTACGAATAAAAGCAATCGACGGAAAGCAGACAATGGATAGACTTTTTTCTCAGCCAAGTAAGGAATGATAGAATCGATGCAAGCGGCGCAATAAACTCTGCGAATGGCAAATACGCAAGGGAATGTCGATTGTTGATTTAATTTGATGAAATGAAAAAGGTGTGAGGGTTTGGGGAAAAGAAAAGAGAGTATTTTCGTGTGGACAGTGGTGAAAATTTAAACTACCCTGAGAATACTTTTTACAATGATGATGACGATTTTATATGTATTGCTAATTACATGTAATTAGTTTTACATGTCCGTAAAAGATTTATCGAACAATGTGAAAAACAAAAGCAATATGACAAGAATAATGGAAATAAGAAAAAGACCTTGGGATGATTTGTAATTTATGATTTACTGACCGGAATAGGCAAGTAACAAAATGAACACAATGATCAAGAAACAACGAGATTCACTTTAAAACCTTGGGAATGTCTCGACTATCTGGTGATTGTCACACAAAAGTGTTACCAATTTGGTATGACAAAACGAAGGATTGTTCATAAAATAATACTCCCTTTTGAATTCTCATTTTTCCAAACCAGTTTCGGGTTTCCTTTGTACTTTTATTATCCTCCAAAATAATACAAAAAATATAATTATCTGTCGGTTTCGTTTTAATATAAATAAGCTGACCGGTCAGCTTTCTCATGCTCGTGTGAAATAGCAAAGTCAACTTACTACAAACTACATCTTTTCATTCGCTTATAAAGTCAATTATCCGGCAGAGTGTACCAAAAAGAAAAAAAAAGCCTACTCTTAGCACAAACCTACAATTACTTACCAACATTTCATCTGACGTACATATTTTTATAATAATATTAATTAATAAGCAATTCCTGTTCAAGTTAGGCAGAAATATACCTACTTTACAGCCTAAACGTCGCTTTCCCAACACTACTTTCATCTCCAGCTACTATCGCTCGAGTTTTCGTCGATATACCAAGCATTATCACATTCGAGTTACTTCATCTCTACAGCTAAATGTATCTCAAATCAACACACTCACGCCTCCTAGATGGTGGGCATCAATGGGAAGTAACCCTGTTTTGCAATACCGAGGCAAACACAATCGCTTCCGTCGACATCTTTCCAAAAGGCCGAACATCCAAAGTCGTCCCGAACGATGCCAAACCAGCACCAACAGCATACACAATGACGTATTCCGCATCAAAGAATGAGGATCCTCCAGAACGCTTTACCGCAGAAATAACACTACGTACAGGAGGCAAAAAGACAGTCACTGTCCCAGCAAACATGGCTACCGATCGAAAACGAAGAAGACCGGACGGAAGCGTCGATGATGAGGCGGTGGAAATGGAAAATCAGCCTACATCACCGCCAAATGAAGAGAACATTAAGAAGAAACGAAGCAAGGGTTGCTTTGTATGGTTTACGAGAAGAAGGAGCAAGAATAAGGATGGCATAGATGAAAAGCGAACTGGAGAGGATGACGATGCACCGAAAGGCTGTTGCTTTTGTTGTTTTTGTCGATGAAGGTAAAGCGATTTGAATGGCGTGCATATGTTTTGATTGGAAAACCCTCACGAATATTATTACGATTAGTCCTGACATTCTAATTGAAACTAGGTATCCCTGTCAACCAAATATGGCACATCGGTGACGTTATGCAACGCCATCGATCAAAAAAACCCCACTATTTTAATATATATTGAAAGTATACAAATACTCTTATTTTCTTTTTAATTTATGAGAACTACTTGCATTCGGAACAGACGATTATATTTTATAGTAAAAAAATATTGTAATACTGATATTGACTACTATTTCATATGTAACATTTACATTGCTGTTCAATAAATGAACCCATTTTTTTTTCTAACAAGACATCTGATAAGGCCATGCCAAGATGAACCACGTGTGCCAATAATAAATGATTCGACGGATGCGCTTGATTTCACAAGTCACCAGCTTCAGATGGTTTTCCCCCCCTCTCTTTGTTATTCAAGACTATGATAATTCCCAAATGAAAGTGTAGATTGAGCGTTTGTAATTGTTAGTTATTGGTTACAATAGAAATGGCCTGATCATGTCTTTCAGGCGGGAAAATGAAATAAAGTTATATGCACTATGAAAATGTTATGCAACAATAACACATACAAAATATTACGCATATTGCGATTAATGCCGTAACACAAACAAACCTGATGACTACAATTCTGGCCTTGTTTCTATTTATTTTGTGTCAAACCATTAATATTAAACATTTTAATAATGACAAATCAACTGTTTCAGATACTCATGATGCTTGCGTCTTAGTGGGCACCTGGGAATTTTTATAAGAAAACGAACACCGATTCACTAATATTCGGTAAATTACCCATCAGTTTGTCTGCTAGACCCGCTTAGCGGTAAATCATTTGCGCATACAATGGCGTACAAGAGCCTATTATTGAGTCACAAATTGGATAATAATGTTCTAACCGAAATCGCAATCAGACCAGTTCGAAATAATCACGTTTTATTTCGTAAACAATGTGGGTTAGATTTCGCTTATTAGTGTGATACGGTATTTATTTCGGATTGGTCGGATTACGATTTGGGTTAGAACATTTTAACATCATATGGGGGGAATCCAACGTTGGATAAAGAAGGAAAATGTAAACCACTCGGATAAAGAAATAGATAATATTATTAATAACAGTAATAGTGTAAAAGATAATGGAATTAAATTTGCACCAGAGTGACCAAAGAATAAGCCATACTCATCAATGGCTTTGGGTCCGACTATTCTAATCACTCTGGTGCATGTAGTATTATTTATATTTTCAAGAGCGCACATTCAACACTCGAATAATAAAATTCATGCTTACAAAAAACTGACATGTTTGACTCTTTGATTGCAATTTCAACGCGAGTCAAAACTTAATGAATGCATTCGAATTAATAAGAACAATCTTTCGTTGACAGGTCGCTTGATAAGTGGAGACCTTTGTGGAAAGCTTTTATGTCAAGCAATTTTTTCTTGATCTAGATATTCTTGAGAGTTTAGGTATTATTGATTCTAAAAACATAGGGAGCAATTTTTTGCTTGCTTTTTTTGGAATGCTTCTAATAGTGCTGTAAGTCTTGGTATTGGGTTCCATAGTGGATTTAATTTATATATATATATTTTTCATATATAGAGATAATCTTATTATGGTTTATATTCATCGCATTCTGGTATAATAAAATAAACATTAGAATTAGCAAGTCCATAAGTTATGAGTGAGAACCATTATTACGTCATCAGTCACACTGGGCAGCCCCTCATTTATGCCACACAACAGAATCAGAGCTGCGCGTTATGAATCTTTGGCGACATAATCTTTCTGGTTGCCCACATTATATATTGTCCGAATGCTACAGGCCTTTGACGAATGGCTTCTTCACGGTAAGCTATACAGGTAAACGTAACCACGTCGCGGTCTTTAAGACAGGCGACCACTGATTAATCTGTGTTAGAATTGTTGTATGTCAGATCAGAATTTATGTCGCCTCCAAACTGACATACGACAATATATTATTCAATAAAACATTGTCATATTTATTGCTAATTTTCTATTTTCTCATCTGACACATGTCAGTTTGGAAGCGACATAAAATTCTGATCTGACATACAACAATTCTCGAGAATAACAGGTAGCCTAGGTAAAGATTGTGTTGTGACTGGAAGCAGAACTATAGCAGGCTTTACTAAATATGAATAAGCGTGATTATTGTCAATTTTTGAGACGCCTCGCATAGAATCGCGTTCTTTAAGAAACCGGATGGTTTATGACAACATTAATATTTTCTCTTTGAATCAGCAGATCATGGAGTTGTCAAAGTCCAGCTGATTGGTAATGGTACTTATTATCATGCTGGATTTGACAAAAAATATACTTGTCCAAGATCAATGAATAAAATATTTAGACCGAAATCTTCGTTATTTCAACTGTTAGTAATTTCCTTGCTGTCATCAGTCACGTTAGTCAATTTGCAGTTACCAAGGCGTTTTCACTGTCTGATTTTGTTGCAGTATACCCTATTTTTTTAAAAAAAGAAAGGCTTGTTATCCTTCCACAGGGTAAAACGCAATAATAGACCGATCAAGAGTATAAACCAAGCTCTGAAAAGTAAGAGACTGTTACGATGAGAATATTGATCGAATAAATTAGACGGGTTCATTTTTTTGACAAAGAGAATGCTTGTATAGAATAACGACAGTTGATGTTTTACGATAAGTTGACACGTATTAGTAGTAAGAGCTAATCGGATTTATAAAAAAATTAACTCGCGCAAAAAGGAAAAACCGAGATCTACATCTTAATATTAACAAAAAAATTTATAAACACGCGGGTCATGGCATGATTTGTCCCAAAAATCACTCACAAAAAACCGCTTTGTCTTAAACGTACAGTTACATTAGCTTTTTAACCCGTCTATTTTTATATTCTTCTTCTGAAATGTCAGTCACGAAACCTCTCTCAAGCCTTACTCCCCTCGAACTCAAGGGCGGCAGAACGCCGCCGTCTTTGGTCGTCGCAAAACCGACTATAACAGTCCGCCAAGCCTTGAAGACAATGGCGACTCACAACATAACCTCACTTCCGATACAGTCTCACGATTCTGACGCAATAGTGAATATCGTGAACCTGATTGACATTCTTTCTTATATCATCAAAGAGGCAGTGGCGGACGAGAAACATCCAAGTAAATTGGATAGTGAACGAGTAAAGAGCTTGGATAATGTAGTTGAATCTGTAATGACGTTGGATACCGAGAAAGAGAGTTATAGGATATTCAAAACGGATGCTAGAGACGTGCTGAGAGGAGTGAGTGTCTGAGACGAATATGTGAGGATGACAAATACATAGATTACTTGAAGCATATACAGGCATCATCAAAAAGAAATACCTAGCTAGCTTCTGCGCTAAAATCCTCATATTGCTCTTTTCCTTCTTGATTTTGAATCTTTGCCCCACACTCTGTTCCTAACTTTTAGACCATAAAAGCCTTTACTCAAGGAATCCACCGTTCACTGGTAATCGATTACACGAACGAAATCCCACCATATATCTTAACCCAAACCGACGTCATACGTTACGTCTATGCACACCCAGAGTCTCTTCCTGGTATCGATCTTGATAAGACAGTCAGAGATTTCGGATTAGTCAGAGAGGGACGTGAAGTGGTTGTTGGAAAATCGGAAGAGACAGCTTTAAATGTTTACAGGCGAATGGAAGAAAAGGGATTGATGGGCATTGCAATCACTGATAGGTAATATGGAAAGTCTGGGGAATGGTGGGTGTTGAGAGGAGCACAAAAGGGGAGAATCAAACGAGAGTGTAGTCAAACATGAAAAATGAGCGTTGTCGGTACGGTCCTGAAACTGACGATTTTTTCTTTGTTGATTGCTAGCAATGACAAGCTTATCGCAAATCTTTCGGCTGCTGACCTACATGGCTTAACGTATAGTTCAATAGACTGTCTTATTCTACCAGTTTGTGAATTTCTTCAGGTAAATTCATCTCTCTCACTTTCGAATTGCTACAGATGCATGTCGAATTATTCTCTAACATATTGTCTTATTCAAACAATCGAAATCTCCATGTAATGCGTGCAGACTTTGCCAAACCCGGGCAGTGCACTAACACCATTCACTGCTAGCCCCGATACCCCGCTCCGTAGCGTCCTCCAAACTATTGTTGAGCAGCATATTCATCGTGTGTGGATCGTTGAGAGTGAGAGAGTCATCGATGTCGTTACATTGTCGGATTTGATTAGAATATTTGTGGACGTTTAAGATTACGAAACAAAGTATGAGTAGTCGGTAACGTTGTGTATAAGGACGCTTATTTAAGCGATATATTATTTATTCTGAATTATTATATTATATTATCCAAAACCAGAACAATACTTTTATCTCCTATCTCCTAGCAATATTGATTGTGGATATTGTCAATTATATCGTTCATTATCGATTTTTTAATGATCAATAGCAGACTGTTGAAAAGCTGTTTCCGGTAAAAAGTTGTATATATTATATTATGTCGCCTTTGTTGGGTTATGTTATACTCAAATATCTATTTGGTCTGCAAAGAGTGAAAAAGTTGGTGATGAAAGTTATCGCGATTTTTCGCGCGTAAAGAGCCTGACCTACGCCTCATGAAAGTGAATATTAAAAAAAGACCGTTTATCTGAGCGCGTTTAAACAACACGTTGATGCAAAGAGAAGATTGAGAGAGATCGAAGGGTACCAACAGAACCTCTACATTAGAGAACTTTAGAATGAATCCCAAGCATAGAAAAGACTATGGCGAAGGGGGATAACAGGGACCTCCCCTGGTGATATCTTATCATGTGATCGATTCATCCCATGCATAATAGTAGTTCTTCAATACTGCAATACAGTCAAACCTCTCTAAGTGCACGTCGTCGGGACCGACGATGCACTTGCATTTAGAGAGAGCGTGCATTTAGAGAACGTTAATCATTTGTTTCACGTGACATCTTCGCATATATTAACACTATGTCTGCAAACCATTAACGATTGTAGGTTTCAACTGCGTTTATTCAAATGTTTAATGAAAAAAAAAACAACGTTCAATTATCTATCATTGTAGAAAGTTCCTAATACTTGTTTGCTTCCGAGAAGCGTCCCCAAGTCGTCTTACAATCTTAATCGTACTAATCCATAAAATATGTTTCTAAACAGTTAAGCGCCTCCTTGTGGGTAACCCTTTGTCTTTCTACACTATCATCCTCGTCTACATTTCCACTCCTACATCTTCCATGTCTTCAACTTCATGTGTGACAATTCTTTTGTTTCTAATTGAAAACTTTCTAAGGACTTCAATTCTTCCTGCAACTAAGTCTGTGATCTCCTGATCTGTAAGTATCACTTCTGTAATACTTTCTTCCGGATAGTCGATGTAATGTTATGAAGTAACCACCCCCCTACCTCCATAACCCAGTTAAAATATAACCTTGTAATCCAAATGTGACAGTAATAATAATAATAGGTCATTCGACCCCTTAGTCTAATTATGTAACAATAGAAGACGTCATAAACGTTTATTACGTAATAATTTGCAGACCAATAATCATATGAATTGCATTTAGAGAAACATTCATATAGAGATAGGGGCGGAAAGAAAGCTTGCAATTGCAGAACATAGAACGTGCACTTATCTCTTAAGTCCCATCATGGGACTGAGCAATTGCTGTGCATTTAGAGAAAAGTTGCATTAAGAGAGTTGCATTTAGAGAGGTCTGACTGTACATTGAATCTCTTGAATATTTACCCAAAAATTTTTGAGTAAGTTAACACATTTACCTGTGAAATAAGTGAGACTGTGATGAAAACCATCTTTTATATTGGTCAGGTATTAAATTTGATGACAAAATATGCTCTGATTCAGAGATTTTACTTATTTTGAAAATACTGGTTTTTTAATAAAATGCCAAGCTGAGTGTACAGTCGCACTGCGATATGGTCACTTTTACATTTGCAATTAGTCACACGTTGCAATTTACAGGCCTATTGAGTGACTACTCGATATCCTCATACGTTGTTATAGCCACTCAATTTGACGCTGTAACTATGTCAAGGTGCGACTGTATTGTTTCGATTGCTAAGTTTAATTGTTTTTCTCTCATTGAAGCTGAAGGGTCATTTTATATATCTGTTGGAATCGAATACGTCTGCAAAAGTCTCGTATCTTTAACTGAAAAAACGACAAGTATAGCGATGAATTTCCGTGGTTTGTGGGAGAGCGATAATATTTCGCGTACGCGTGTTTGCCGACAGGGGGATGTTCTAATTTAGCTTCAGTCATCGTTCTTGTCTCGGTGATTCATTATTTAATGTGCGCGCGCTTTTTTACGCCCTGTACGATGTACCTCCCGTACTCGTATCCAAATAAGGGTACCCATGATATAATGATAACAACAATTATACCACAGAATCTAAGGAAAATTGACTATTGTTGTATAAAAGTTTTTATTTATACCAACAGCATTAAAGTAATTGTTTGGTATACATTAATAAATGTAACCATATCTCTTAATTATTACCATGCGACGCAAAAAAATTCATGCCAAATATTCTAATACAGATTTAGTGGTGTCTAAACGCATTAAGCAGAAGAAAGAATTTAATTACAATTGTTAGACAACACTGACAAGGTCATAATGACAAAATAGAAATAAATTTGTTACTCATGCGACAACTGCTGTATGATATAGAAAAACAAAGTAAATTAATTGCATCGCAGCAGTATCAAATTTAAACGAGTTATCGCAAACACTATAATTTTTTGTGTAATAATTCTGTACACAGGGGCTCTCTTTACAGTGAAGACACGAAACCCTAAGACTATAATGAGGTGCGAAATCTCGTGACATACATTATAACAAACTAACCAATCGATTAAAGATTTAAGTTTTTACGTTGAAAAAAAAGAAGAGTAAATGACCCAAGATTTACCAAAAGTATTAAACAATGCTAGACTGACAATAAGCTTGGAAAAGTCGATTGTGTAATTACCACGTTTGCTAATTATCAGACGCTTTACATTATTCTCTGGCTCTTGAGCCATTTACCAACTTGACACTTTCCTCATTCGTCATTTGTTCCTCACTCACAACCTGATTTTCATATGGCCTTGTTTTTATCAATTAGATACTTTGCTCCAGTCAAGGCAACACGTTTTTTGGCCACTTCTATTTCTAGACTGAGAGATTTATATCGACTATAATATTTAATATTAATGGGTAATTTAATTGGCCGATATACTCGATCTAAACAAAAACGAAATATTAAATAACTTCCGGATTAATGTCAAAATGCACTTTTAAAAATATTTACCATCCAGATTTTGCGGGACTGAATGACCATTTTCGAGTAATGAATACAATTTTGGGATTTAACGTTAACATTAATTGGATGGAAACAAAACTTATTTTGGGTCAATCACGAAAAAGCTACCGGCAAGTTAGCTTTGCGCTTGTTAGCTTACAAGGAGCAAGTTGCAAACAATAATGTGAGAACTGAGGCAGCTTTCGCAAAGCCGCGGGAATGCGGACTCACAAGATAGAAACTATTTACAAGTTTCTCAAGACTGTAGGCAAAGGATAAAGTCGACAATTGTTGGTTCCGCTACAGTAACTATAAACAAATTGGTCTAATTCTGTAAAAGGGTATTATTATAACCCAATTGTGCTTATAGACTGGATGACTGTAAAGAATACGATTGTATTTTATACCATATGATTTGTGCATTCGATTTGTCAAATGGAAAAACAATTCGATCTTGTAATGCGAGGAGTTGTAACTATCAGAATACGTTCCATTTAAGAAAGAGCTTTAATGTGTATTTAACAATCAAATAAAGTAAGCTGACAGCCTATGCATACGAGGACTAGTTTTACGTATGCCATTTCTTTCTCCGCGTCTATTATTTCTCGGGTATCTATAGATGGCTATCTGAATTAACTTAATACATGACCTTTCGCTAACAGTAGTGGTTCCAACATATTACAAAAAATTTGTATATCTCAGTCAGTTGTGGTAATTACTGATTGTTTATAGCCTTATAAGAATTTATACGAGAATTTGTGCCTAATTCCGACCATGTCAAACAGGTCAAGCCGTGAATTTTTTTCTGCAAATTAAACATGCAAGGAATGTCGATTTTAATGTTACCGCTTGCAGACCAGTTGTATTGTTTTATACAGCCGGTTTCTTACTTCTAAATTAGTTACATATTGGAGACGTTCTGGAAATGTTAAGAACGGCACGTGAAAAAAAGTAAATTTGATTAGTATGCAAACTTATCTTCAAAACGGTCCCCATCGAAATTGTAAAGTATAGGTATTTTGTGAATGCCTACATTCAGTTCTGTCAGCGTATTACCAACAAGATGTATGCAAATTTGTGAGTAATTGGCGAGTATGAAAGACTTCTGGGTCAAAGGTTGATTCGCGTAAAACGTATCATTATACGAAAATCCTTACTATCACGCCATGTAGATCACAATGCCCATATTAAGTATCCGCAGATCGCATACAACTCATCCAAGACAAAAAAGCTGTCATTATTAACAATCACGTATTCGCGGTTGACGTGATTTCTGATAACACATCTGGAACGTCACTTTGACTAAAACAATCAGGCGCCAACAATTATCTATGTCGCATAACATGTTTCGTAATTAATCAATGACTTTATTGCCCAAAATTTCACGTCGATCATTAACCGGTAATAATAAATTTTCTAAGCCACTACCAAAGCTTGGATTGAATCGAAAATCGTGTAATCACGAAAGATTGTAATAACGGCTCGGGAAACACACCTGTTTTTGTTAATAATAAATCAATATCAAAATGCCACGACGCAGCAAAATGGCTAGACACTTGGACAGAATTCGCCCTCGAGGAAGAAAAATTCGTCCAGAAACTGAAACTTCCATCGATCCTAATATTGTTTCGGAAGATGTCAGAGCACTTGGTCCGTCTGGCTTATCAGTAGATTCTACGATAACAACGGAAAGTGAGAATGTCCCTATTATAGCGGAAAGTGAATATACTGCGTTACTATTGGATCGTCTATGAGCATCGGTGTTATCGCTAGTGTAGTTGATACATCCGAAATCGCGAGTAATATAGAAAAAAAAAAGAGCCCAATTAATTGATCGAATTAGAGCTTTGCCTACTGATGAAGTACATGCGGCTTGCTACCTTTTCGAAACAATGACATATACAGATGGAAAGCGAAAAGGAAAGATTCTTTCACCATACTTATCAATAAGGCAAATGGTTTTCTTGTAGTAGGTCTATACAAAAGAGGCTCTTCCAGCCAAGCAATACAGAATAAGATAAAATCATTACAAAGGGACTACAAAAAAAAGGTTTAAAATCTCGTGTAAAAGTGGTAAGGCGAGGAGATGACCCCTGATAATTCTTGCATATGTATATATCAGATCGAGTTTAGGAACTAAGTTTTGGAATTAATTTGAATACAGACTCCCTCTCGGACGACCAAAGCAAAACACAACATCAGCGAAGGGCCAATTCAAGCAGACGGTCAACAGTTATCGATGGTTTTGGGGGAAGAATAGGGACCCCAGAATCTTATCAGTACCAAATAGTTAGGTCGTACTTTTGAAATACTTGGGTGTATGTATGTACATGTAACCCATATGTATTTCGTATTACTATACTGTATTCCGTTTGTGCACCTAAATCTGCATGGTGATGCAATTAACCCCCGTCATTATAATGTACTTTATATGGAATGTCAGTAATTCTTAGTAAAAAGAATATTCTTTCATGTTGGACATTTATTCTTTGTCTAACTTTGAGCGTAAAATCCAATGAATGCATTTATTCTGCTGTAGCAAAGGAACAAAGGCGTCAACAATTTTGTTTGGCGTTTTAATGATTTTTCTCTTACTATCATGATAGGGGGATACCGATACTTTTAGGGTAGATTATGTGGCATCCCACACGAGACAATAAAGAAAAAGCGAAATTTAAAATGTTTGAACTGTGCAACACCGACAGCGTTAATTATTATATGTTAGTTCATCGTTTAATATTCGACTCGGAGAGGTGAGGTCAATCGATCAATCACCAGAGAATGATCAATAAAAATTCAGTAAGAGCTAGTTTGTCTGGGGTCGGATGGATTAAACGCGCAAAGATGTTAATATTTGAACAATAAAAACCCCGAATAAATTATTAAATGAATTCCCATTTCCATCACTACTGTCAAGCTTCTTTGTTGAAGTTCGAAATTATTTATTAATTTAATTTGTATTTACTGAATAAATTATTTCTAAATATTATATTCATACTTATTTACTTGGCGTGTTTTACGTGGGATTTTTAAATAGTCTGTCCAATGGCTCCATCGTCAGTAATTCATTCACTCTTCGCTAACAGGTGCAAGTGACTGTCTTGATCCCGTGGCGAGTTCATCTTTTTCAGCCGCAGTCAGAGCCTCATCTGTCTCTTCTGTCTCTTCCAATACATCTACTTCAACTACATAATCTTTAAGGAAATCCTCGAGATATGCTATTCGTTGTCTGACTTCTACGGTAGCGTCAACTGGGTCAATAAGCGGTATGTATTTTGGATATTTTTTTGCAAGACTGTCTTTGACTTGCTTGCGCAAACACCAGGACTGGCACATACCCCATGGTAATATCGGGGAAGCACCTTTTTTTTTTTTTTTAGAGAACGAAAATAGGTATCCCGATCAATAATTAATTCGGCAAAAGCTGTATTTGTATTGATTTACACACACAAAAGATTTGCTTACCGAATAAACAAACGTATATTCCAAACACCAGAGCGTAGAATCCAGACATTAAACTAAGAGCATCGAGAATCTGTAAGTAAAAAAAGTAATCAGTTAAGAGTAATGTTTCTGAGCTATAAGAGCATTAGATTGAGTAAAAATGACTTACAGTCCGCGCACTTTATGTA